ATGTTTCTGATTTATATAGTTTACGTAAAGAATAATCATAAAAAACACTTATTTTTGCAGAATTCAAAACTCCTGACTTTTTATGTAAAAAACAATAAGGCAGAACACAAGTGAAAAGAGCAAGTGAAGAAAAGATAAACTTTTTTTTTTAAAAATTCATCAAAATTTTTCATCATCTGACCAAACATGACAAATTCTGATTTTGCTGAAAAATTCCCCAAGTATTTTTCTACATTTCTACAAAATAATTCAAAAATGTTTTCTAAATGCTCTAATTTTTTGAGAAACATGCAGGAAACGATAACATTTAAAACATTTTTAAAAAATTACAAAATATTTTATAAATTTGTTTAACTTTTTGACCAAAAATGACAAAAAAATTCACATTTTGACATAAAACTTTATACAAAAAAATCCTAAAAATGCTCTCTAAAAGCACTAATTTTATGAGAAACATGAAATAAAAGATAAAAATTTAAAAAATAATTTTACAAACATTTACATAAAGATTTTTAGTTTTTGACCAAAAATTACATGGAAAATTCATATTTTGACATAAAACTTTATACAAAAATATTTCTAAAAATGTTCTCTAAAAGCACCAATTTTATGAGAAAGATGCAGGAAAAGATAAGATTTTTAAAAATAATTTTTCAAAAACTTTTTATCAAAATTGTTTAGTTTCTGAACAAAAATGACACGAAAAATTCCTATTTTCACAGAAAACGTTATACAAAAATATTTCTAAAAATTTTCTCTAAATGCCATAAGTTTATGAGAAACATGCAATTAATGGTAACATTTTTAAAAATATTTTTTCAAAAACATTTAATCAAAATTGTTTAGTTTTTGAATAATATGACACGAAATATTCACATATTGACATAAAACTGTATATAAAAATATTTCTAAAAATGTTCTCTAAATGCTCTAATTTTTTCAGAAACATGCAATTAAAGGCAGCATTTAAAAAAAATAATTTTACAAAAGGTTTAATGAACTTTTTTTAGTTTTTGAGCAAAAATGACATGAAAATTTCTAATTTCTAAATTTGCCTAAATGCCCTAATTTTATGAGAAAC